CAATGATGTTGTTCTCTCTTCCCTTCTCTGTAAAACTATTATTTATGTACATATTATTTTATATGTGTGGGGGTACGTGTGTACAGGCGAGAGGACAACTTTCTGGCATCTGTTCTTTCCTTCTATCTTTACGAGGGTTCTGGGGATTGAACTTACATGGCTAGGTTTGCACGACTGCTGAGCCATCTCTCTGGCCCCTGGTATTCCTGTGTTTAAATGTTTACAGTGACTTCTGGAATGATTTGATGGGAGCATTGCAGCCTTCCTGAGATAACGTCCATGGCAGTGAACTGTCATTCTTGAGTGGTTTGTCATCGTGTTCCCTTGGAATTTTGAGCACACTGGGAGCCCATTTGCAGATGCCCTCTGGTTGGACCCCACCAATAGGATTCCACCTGCAGAAGTTATCTAAATGTTTTCCCTTCCTGTCTTTGCAGTTAAAGATTCAAGATGTCCATTTGCGCTTTGAAGATGGTCTTACCAATCCATCTCATCCTTTCGCATTTGGCGTCTGCATTAAGAACGTGTCCATGCAGAATGCTGCAAACGAGCCTGTGAGTATGAGATCTGACCACAGACCAAGAGTAAAACTGCCCTTGGCTCCTCAAAAGTGTTATGTAAACAAGCCCTGCTACTTGCCCACCTATGCCGGTGTCCTTTTCTTTTTGAGACTGGTTTCTCTGTATAGTCCTGTCTTATGGTTTTATACACAAGCAAGCTGAGGTGCAAAGGATTCTTGTCAGCAAAGGATTTCAACCTCCATTTTCCCACTCCTTTGTCAATCATCAAGGAAACTTGTTCTACTTAGGTTTCACCCGCTATCTGGGAATGTCTGGTTTCCATGCAGTCCTTTTTTTTTATAAAACTGCTAGGTGACATTTCTGTGGTGTTTAGACTACCTGGTAAAACACCGATTCTCCACACTCTTCATATACCCTGGGTTTTTTGTTTTTCAGACAGGATTTCATTATCTTCTACTAGGATGGCAGGCTTCCACCACCACACCTGGCAACTGTCTTAATTGATTGTATTTCCTATTCTAGAGTCAGATAACGCCTTGTTCCATAAAATAAGTGTTCTGTTGGGCAAAGGGGGTCAATACTGTTGACACAGAAAAGTTGACAGATTATTTAAAAGTTTGAGATGGCCTCATGTCACTGAGGGCAACCTTGAACCAGATATGTAATTTACTAAACATCTCTTTGGACTTCTGGTCCTTCTGTCACTTCCCAAGTGCTGGGAATTACATGTATGAGCCACCATGCCTGCCTCAGCATCCTATAATTTTTACTTACTAGGACATGCATTTATAGCTTTTGAGCCTTGTGTGATTGTGGGTTCAGCACCCTCTTCTGACTCTGCAGGCATTGGATACAGCTGTACAGATATCCATGTAGGCAAAACATCCATGCACATAAAACAAAAAACAGCAGGATGTGGTGGTGCGCTCCTTTAATCCCAGCACTCGGGGCAGAGGCAGGCAGATCCTGAGTTCAAGACTAGACTAGTCTGGTCCATGCAGTAAGTTCTAGACCAGCCAAGGACAATGTAGTGGGATCCTGTCTCAGAACAAACCAGAGAGAGAGAGAGAGCGAGTGAGAGAGCTGAAATGTGAAGCTAAGAAGTCAGCGTGTCCTCATCCCTGTCCCTTGTCTGAGGGTCACTGGGAGCCTCTGGTTCCTTGGCTTACAGATGTGTCTCTACAGTCTCTGTTGGTGTTCACAAGGCCTTGTCTCCTCCCATCTTTTTGTTTTTCCTTCTTGCAAGGACCTCACTCACTCACTAGCTTTGTACCAACACTCATCCAGGATGGCTTCCTTTAATGTGAGTCTTGTGCACAGGTGGTGTTTACAAAAAGGACACACTCACACTTGGGGGTGAACGCAACTTCCCCGAAGAGGACATGGTCCAAACTGATACCCTAGTAATATTCCAAGATGCTTTTTCAACACTAACTGACTCCTGCTTCAAATATGTGTTCATGCTCATGTGTCCATACTGTTTCCCTGCCATTCAGAGTTCTAGTTAGGAAATGTAATCACTGTTTCCTGAATATAGCAGGCCTTTGGTGCTGACTCAGTCCCTTGTATGAGAAACACTGGCTGTTCTGGAACTCGATCTGTAGACCAGGCTGGCCTTAGACTTACAGAGATCCGCCTGCCTCTGCCTCCCAAATGCTGGTAGGTACTGAAGGCATGCTCCCCCACTGCGTGGCAGAGATTTACAGATATTTTGACACTCCTCTG